TTTGCTCTGTTTCAAACTCAGGGCCTAGTTTTTTTTAAATTATTGTTATTACATGTATTTATATATGCACACATATATATACATATAGATTCTTAAATACAACTCGTTCAGTCTGTGTAACATGATTCGTATGTGTATTTTTACAACTGACCTTTTGATATTGGATAACCAATTTTTATGCTCATCTCAGGGAAGACTATTTCTCCCATTCTCAATGTCTCTTAGCTGCCTGCAGTTCTTTGTATAGGGTTGAGGACTCATGATGTATTTATAATAAGCTATGCTAGTATAAATCTTTGAAACAATCACTTTTTCTGACTAAAATGGTATGTTCATTCATAAATTTGTTTTCATGAAACAAGAGACATAGCTGCTATAGAAATAAAACATGAGTCCCTAATTACCAGAAATACATTTTGAATATATGCCTTAAACAGTTTCAGAAATATGGGAAAGTGTTATGTTGTAAACAGTATACATTAGGAGAAACTAGAATTAGCATATGATTGGAAAAGTAATTATAGTAAAGAACAGTTGATAAAATTCCAAGAGCAAATTCACATGGGGAGCATTGTAGTAAGATTCAAAGGAGGTGTCACAGATACACACATGACAGAGAGAGAGGCAGAGGGATGACAGAAAATAGAAAGACACATGTTAGAAGGATCATTTATAGATAGAAGGTAGATAGAATTAGATGATTGATAATAGGTAGGCTATAGATGAATGGTAGGTGAATTACAGATGAACTTTAGGAGATAGACACCAATAGAATATAAATTACAAAACATAGATAAATAGATAGAACATAGATAGATAGATAGATAGATAGATAGATAGATAGATAGATAGATAGATAGATAGATAGATAGATAAAATTTTGAGATTAATTTTTCATGGTCGTTTTAACAGGAAAAAGCTTTGATAAAACACAGAAGATTGTGATACATCAAGGTAAATTCTCTTGAGGACAGACGCTGAGTATAGTTTTGAGACCACAGGACATTTATTTAAGTTTCATCAACACTGTTGTTTGCATGATGAGGTGACTGTGTTTCTGATATGACAGTAATATTTTTCTTGAATAATGCACAAATTGGGAAACCTGATGCTTAGAACAGCCTGGACAAAGCTCTGAGTTCAGTCTCCAGCAATGCAAAAGAACATAGTCCTCAAAGTGTTTTCATTTATGACAATTGTAATTCATGACTGTATATTAAGGTGAAAGGTCATAGCTAGGTTGAGTGAGGATAGAAAATTGATCAAAGATGAGTTGCAATTCTGACATATGAATGTACTTTTCTGTTTCTTCTTTCAGTCTCCTGAATTTTTAATGAGACCTATGACTAGAAACCCTTTGTCTAATAACTTTTCCTAGCTAAAATTGAGTGTATGGGAGTATTTTCCATGAAAAAGGGATGATTTTACTTGAGACAAATACAAAACACATTTAAAAATAATTCTAATATTAGGAATCATTTCCAGATTATGTACATTGTAGATCAAAGGAATAAGACACAAGGGTCACATACTGCTGCATGCCACAAAATATGTAATAGAGATTCAGCTGTAAATGATAAAGCTATGCCCAGAAAGATAAAGGAGTTCCTCTAGAAGAAGTCAAATATCAAGGAATATTTGATGTTATTTGGCTTTTAATATATGAGCTGTTTCCTACTATCAATTTGTTGTGTGCCATAATTCCTAGACCATAACGGCCAATAGTATAAACTTCTCAGACCTACTGCTGATCTGAACAAAGTAGCATCCCTACAGAGACAACTTCTGTCTCCTAGGCATAGGAGACAGGCAAGTATATAGATGCATAGCTTTGTTTCTTGTACAAATAAAGCTCAGATCAGCCGTTTCCTTCAGGACTAGTGGCATTTCAGAGCTATTGACTCAGGACAATAGGGTTTTTTGATTAACCAAGTGCCAATGAAGACTGGGACAGAATTCCTGACTTGGGGTGAGGAAGAGAATAGCTCAGCCCAAAGAGAAAACAGGAGGGTGAGAATAGCATGGCCTGAGGAGAAAGCAGCAAGAAGAGTTTTTGCAGATTGTAGGTGGATTTTAATCAGGTCAGGAGAGTAAGAGAGACAAGAAAGATGGGAGACAAAGGGACAGAGGACAAAGATGAGATCAATAACAAAAAAACTTAGTTAGAGCTATGAGAGGACAGGAAAAGAAGGAACAGAGAGGAGCTAAGCATGAGGGCAGAAAAGAAGCTGTGTAGAGAGAGAACTGACTCAGAATAATAAAGCGTATGAATTAAAGAGTTTTGTGTAATGTATTTCCCTACATGAAATCTTACAGTATGATCTTAATCTCCTTAAAAATGATTATCAGTTATATTATTTATATTTACTTAATTTTATCCTCACATGACATATATGTAATTGTTCTCTTTCCTTTTTACATATGGATTATGAAAACTTCAGTGAGTTGTAAAATAGGAAATTCTTTTTGCATTTTATATTTATATATTAGAAAGGGCTTTCTAAATTTAATTTTCCACATATTAGCCCAGTCATGTTCCCCACTCATCTTATTTACAAATAGCTGTGTTTAGCTAGTTTGCATTATGTATACAAAAGTGTATTCTCATCTCATTGTGCTTTAATTTAAATTTTAATTGTTTTATTATGGTGAAAGGCTATAACAATTTAGGTATTCATAACTTACTGTGCTTAAAGCATATCTCCTCTTCCAGAACAATTTGCATAATTGAAAACCATACAATTAGTACTAAGGAATTAATAAACTACTAAGGGAATAGCAGTACCTAATGAATGAATGATTTCTTACAGTGAGAAGATAATTATGTAAGAATACCTTAGCTCCAAGTCTGCCTGTTGTTTACTTGAATTCTTATGGATCCATGTGTTGGAAAGACCAATATCATATCCAGCACTGAGCAGGACAGGTAATAGAGAAAGCAAAGCTATTAGTTTTTGATCATGCCAGTTGACATAGCTCAAACTCTAAGTCATATTTGTAGATCTTTTTAGACAATATTAATCAATAGGTGATCAATAAGAAATATACTTGGGAACTCATTTTTCTTGTTCTAGCTGGCACACTGTACCATCTACTCAGTCACATACTGCAGGTGGTAATGTCATTAGTCTGACATTGCTCAGGTCAAGGTCACATTGATAAAACTCTTGATTCAAATAGCCACTATGGGAACAATGCCATCTTCCTCTCCATGTGTTCCCTTGTTTTTCTCGATAGCCATGTCATTTCATCCTACATTATTATTTGTTTGTGTTTTACCTGCTTGACTTTTATGGTCTTTGTGTATGATTGTGTAGATTGGAATGCACAATGTACTGTAGACAAATTTCTAAATGGCCTTATTAAATAAAAAACATAGAGCCAAATATAGGAGTGAAAGCTTTAGATCAGGAAAATAGGAAAAGCCACAAGTCAATCTTACCTCACCAACTCTGCAGCTTCCAAATATGTGACTTCCTGTCTACCCAGGCTTTATATGCCTTGCTTTTTTGCCCTCTCATTGGCTCTCTTAGCCCAGCTACCTCACTTCCTCTTCCTACACAGCTCTGTCACTTTCCATCTGTCTAGACAGAGCTCCAGGTCTCTATGCTTTGGTACTGGGATTAAAGGCACGTGTCCCCATGCCTGGCTCTGTTCCCTATTGTGGCCTTGAACACACAGAGACCCTGCCTGCTAAGTGATAGGATTAAGGGTGTGTGCTACCACTGCCTGGTTTCTTTGTTTTCTTAAAATGGCTGGCCTTTCCCCCCTGATCTCCAGGCAAGCTTTATTTTTAACACACAAATAAAATATCACCACATTTCAGCACAAATAAAATATCACCACAATGTACACACATATACAAAAACACAAATATCCATATATATATATATATACATGGATACTCATAAAGGCATACACACAAATCATAAGCATATACACAAATGCATAAATATACACACATACATAAAGATAAACATATAAACACATGCATATACACACATATGTGCATGAACATACAGAAGCATACATATGTATATGATTCAGAAAACTGGCACACAATTATTCACATACACAAATACAGGTGCCTTCATTTGCATACATACAAAAATGCAATCATATGCATATGCATACAGACAAATACATAGACACATACATACAAAGCAATACACATATATATATGTATATATATTATCTACACTGTGCATATACAAAAATGAATGCATATACACATATATACACATACATGCCTATACATAAATACACACATACACATAAGCACACATGCATAAATATACACACAAACTCATATAGGACAAACACATATATACAATTAACCACGGATACATAAGTACATATACAAATGCACACATAGTACACATATACATGTACACACATATAGATATAAATACACACAAATACATACATATATACAATGCACACATACACATGCACATATGTGAATGTACACCTAAATGCACATACCTGTAAATAAGCACAAAACACACATATACAATGCATGCATACACAGGCATACATATACACACATATGCACATGCACATGCACACTTGCAATTGCATGTATACACCTGCATACACAGAGTGAACTAGCTGCTGAACTCAGGCTGATGACCATGCCTCTCTCCTTGACTTTGATGCTTTATCTCTCTAATAGTTTATTTTCCCTCCTCACTCAACTGTGAGTCTGTTAAATACTGCTTTCAGGGATGGTATCTTCATAAGATTTCAGAGGAAGATAGGTTCTGGGTTTTGTGAAATCTCATGGTCACTACTCCGTTTCCTGCTCTTTGGGTCAGTAATGATGTTGCTGGAGACTAGCAGAATGTATCAAGTCCTCTTTAGTGTTTAGGGCCTCCTCCACACGAATATTATGTATTTATGCCATTCCATCTTCGAGAGGGATTCACAGCCCGATAACACGTGAAAGGAGGATTTATCCCTTAAACACTCTATGACAGAATTATTAAAGTGAGGTTTCTTTACTTTCTGTTTGATGGAATATGTGTGAATGCTCATGAGAGATTATCATTACTGATAAGCCTGGATATTTTGCAGCTCAGTTTTAGCCCACAGACTGTTAAGACTAAACCTCTCTAGGAGTAAAGAGAACAGATGCCACAGCTCATTTGCATGAAGATGAGAGGATTCTGAGTGAAGTGAAGTGGTAATTAGGTCCATGGAAAGGAATCAGCACAGCGATGGTGCCTCTCAGCATATGCTTGAACTTGCTGAGCACCTGGGCAATTGTCAGTGCACCTTTTTCTCTTTCGTGGGAACTCCTGGGTCTTCACAGCCTTCAACTATCTGGAGAAAATACATAGTATTTTCAGCTCCTGAGGGTGCAGACTGTTCTCTGAACAGTAGACAGATATATTCATTAAGTCAGTGTTCTTTGCAAATATTTATTTAAAGGCTTAAGGGGATACGAAAAGCAAAATCTTTTTAAGTTAAGATGAGTCTTGCTACCTATGCAAAAGTCTATTTGAACCCATTGTTTATCTTCTGTGTTATCTTTCACAGAAGCACGGTGTGAGAAGAAAGGAGTTGTTTTGCAATTAATTGAGTTACTTAAAAGGGAATTTTTATGTGAAAAAAAGCTGAAGTTATATATCAAGTGTTACATTAGGACGATCTTAAATTTTTCATCAAAATATAATTTCAGAGAGATATTTGAATATCACAATTCTCATAGCACACTGAAGAACAGAGTCAGAGTTTCCAATTTACACAAGTAAGTTTATGAAATATGTTAAAATTTCAGCATCAGAAATCCACATTGCCCAATATGTGCAAACAATAATTCCATCAGTAACCTGTACGCACACTGGATTGTGAACCAAGTGCCTCTTCCCTTGACATATTTTAGTCAGAAATGAAAAAGGTTTGGGAGTACTTTGATGGATGCTCATTCATTTCATATTCCCAGTGCATAGCTGACTGGACAGTCTTGTGGGGAAAGAAAAGTAGAATGAAAGAGGATGTGAGAGTCTCCCAGGTCTGTAGATAACTAGAGAGAAGCAGTCTCATCAGCCATTGACCATCTTCTGTGACCTGACAGAGGACCAAGCTGCTCTTTATTTCATGTTCAGTCAGTCACAGTGATAAGAATTCCAACACGCCTCCACAGTTGGGTATGGTCGTGCATGCCTGGTGGGACCTAGTCACTTCAACCTAGTCATTTCTGGGCTGTGCCTGCACACACAGGCCCATGTGGCTATGCCACGCACGCACGCACGTGGATCACGTGGTTGCGTCGCATGCTTTACACAACCGCATAAAGCCACCAGGTCCTACTTCCTGTGACAGCACGAGTGTGCCATGGGACTCTTCCTGGAATGCACGTATGGCTTTGTCGGGTGGATTTAGTGCTGGAAGTGAGTCCTCAGGTGTCATTACTGAAGTTGGGGAGGAAATACTGTAAGATCAAAAGGTTGAAGATAAACATAAGGAAACAATGTTTCCCAAACAGGACAGGACAGTTTTACTGGGAAGTCACAGATGTAACAGCATGCACAAAACCTCTACAAACTTATTCCTGAGAAAATTCCAACAAGGAGAGGAGAGGGTACACTCTGTTTATGATCAATCCACGAGGCGTTTCCATGTAAGGATTGGTCACCCAGAAAACAGGATCAAGAATTGACCCTCTGACCAGTTTTTTCTCTCTTGGCGACACAGTCCAAACCGCATCTACCGGGATATCTAGCCGCAGCCAGCCAAGAGCGCCGCGCTATATACCCTTACACACAGCTGCTATGAAAGTAAAGTGTAAGTGACAATTTTTAAAACTCTTTAAATACTTACATATAAAAGTATTTAATAAAAATAACAGTGTTTTAATAATGAAGTAGCAGGTGCTTTTTAAGTCACTTTTTATTTTTTAAAACCAGCATAGAAACAAAATGTGGAAAGCAGAGATAGATGAAAGCATTTAAGTTAATAATTTAATAGAGGCTCACTTTAGAAAACTAGAGTAAGCAAGGCCCTTTGGCTATCTGGAGTAAATGAGGAGTATTTTCAGCTCTTGGGGACACAGGATATTCTCTGAACAGCAGACAGATACATTCAAGTTTATATAATGAAATACAATGTACAGAGCGCAGGCACTCAGTCCATGAGTGTTTAGCAGGCATCTACATGTCAGAAATGAATTTAGATACTGAATATTAAAATGATTTTTGTAGCTAGCATAAAACCAACATTCGGTATAATCTGATAGATTCTATTATGTAAAAGTATTTCTTAATAAATCTTATCAGATGCTAGATATTAGAATTTCAGAAACTCTGAGCATGTCTGTGATCTGACTTAGAATATATTAAACCTCCTATTAGATGCATGTATGCACTTACTTTGAAAATCACTGGAATACCCAGCTGTGGTGGGAAACACCTTTAATGCCAGCACTTGGGAAGCCGAGACAGGTCAATCTCTGTGAATTCCAGGCCAGCCTGAGCTATACAGAAAATCACTGTAATAGAAGGTATGACCAGAAAGAGACAGCACATTCCTCATTCATGGAAATATAATCTTCCTTGCTGTTGAAAATTAAGATATTTCAACTCATTGTGTGTGTGTGTGTGTGTGTGTGTGTGTGTGTGTGACTGTGTTTCTCTCTGTGACACTCTGTCTCTCTGCCTCTCTCTTTCTCTTTGTGTTTCTCTTTAATGCATTAACCAAGTTCCTGATAGATGCCACTTAAATACACTGAACTATCACAAACACTTTACAGAGAACCACACAGGATCTTTAAGGACAATGTGTGATTCAGTAGCAACCTATGCTGGCTCCTACCATGGACAGAAGTCCTGCTATGACACCCTCTAAGCAGAGTAGACACCACAAAGCTCTGTAGACAGTGAGTTGTTTATGCAGAGGTGGCATTCTATCCCACTGTTATCCAGAAAGCCCAGAGCAGAATCTGGCTTAGGAAGAGAAGTACAATGAGATTTACCACAGCAGTTTTTCATAACTAGGTACCAAAGAGATTTTGATGCAGAGAATGGTTTATTTAGCCTACAGCTCATCCCGAGGATGGCTTGTTTCTTCTGTCTATGCCTAAAGCCTCTTATCCTCATGATCCTAACTGATGCTCAAAACGTTGCTGAAATCCTCCTTTGGCAGACAGAAAATCTTCACATATTTGTCAATACGTTAATCTGAAAAAATCATCTCCAACTACATTAACAAAATATGTATTAATTAGCAATAGGAAATACTTGAAGTTTTCTCAGAATATTTAAGAAAAATCACTTTAGATAAAGAAATGACATAGGAAACCATGACTGAAAATACAATAGATGGATTTAAAGTGTGGTTTCTACCATTACTGTTTTCTAAGTTTCACTCTCTCTTTGAGATGTGTTTTAACATTTAATAATTCTTAAAAGTTACTTCTGTTACTTACAGTGAAAAAAAATCAAAGACATGATTTATTTTTATTTCAGTAAGATTTTAAGTGATTTTCAAAGTGTTCTATTTAGATGTAGGTATTTCTTTAAAGAAATGTTATTATATTGTTTCTTTGATAATAGAGTTTAAACCATTTAGGTTTTTTATTGAAAATCTATAAAACATTGCACACCCAGTAATAATTTTCCTTCTGAAGTACACATATTTTAGAATTTCAATTGATTTCACTGAGAAAATTCATGTACGATTCTTGCATAAAGATAGCAAAATGCTTTTTTTTCTTCCTGTACGTAGATGTCACATTAGATAATTATCTTATTCTTATAAAATACCTGACAAGACCAACCTCAGGGACTATGAGTGTACTTTATACATTGTTTTATTAGATTTGGTCCCTGGTGATGTGGACTTGAATATCATGATGGTTGGAACTCCTGGGGAGATAGATTCTTCAGCTGATGGATAAGAAGCAGGCCATGGGAATTGGATGGGGCCAGACATAATAATCCCCAAAGACTTAAGACTTGCCCCTATTGACCCACGTCTTCCTGCTATATTCTGTCCCTTAAAGTTTCCAGAACATCTCAAAATAGTATTTCCAACTGCAGAACACCACAGAGGGGTTGTGTGGGACATTTTGTATTCAAACTACTTATATGGAAATGGACACTGGGCATTGACAATAATGTTGAGTATTAAAGATACTTTAAAATGAGCCAATAAAAATAATCATAATGGGGAGCTTTAATATTATTATAAATTCCTCTATTTTTCAAAATGTCATCCATATCATTCTCTTTATATTCAAAACTCCCAACATCAGTTGGTCAGGAAGCAGGCAGAGATGTTGGCTCCATTGCATCCTTGGTCTTGGCAGTCTGTGCTGACTGTAAGGATGCCTAGCCTGTCAACAAGACACTGAAAGGAGTGATAACTGTTCCTTTCTTAACTCATAGCCCCTTACAATTCCAGCTTCAACTACTTTCTAGTGAAAGCTTACAATTAATAACATGGAATCACTTTCTAAAATAAAACTAGTTCCTAACATTTGGTGGTTTGTTATACTTGCACTATTCTTTAACTAATGCTCACAAAATGCCTGGGACAAGCATTAGGTTTAAAAACTAGGGGTAACAGAAGTTAGAAGAACTGAGATTTAAATTCAAGAGCATCTTTCTGAAAATCTTGGCTTCTGTGTTAGTCAACTTTCCATTACTATGACAAAGTACATGTGGAACTCAACTCAAGGGAAGACTTACTTTTATTGATGGTTGCAGAAGTATCTGTCCATAGTCAAGCTGCTTCTTTCCTTCTGGGCCTGCAAATCTCAAGATGTTATGAATGGGGAGGGAGAGAGAAAAGGGAGGAGGAAGAAGACAAAGAGGAAAGCAGGGAGAGGAACATGGGCCATGGAACAAAGTACAAGATGTTTCCAAAGGATGCCCACAATACCTTAGCTCCTCTTACTAGGACCCATCTGCTAACATTTCCATAGCACTCTTCAATATCACAACCTGAGGACCACACCTTCAACACATGAGCCTTTGTGAAGTGTTTTGCCCAGATTAGGACCCTCAAAGAGACCACTGGGGACCAAAGTTGTCCAGAATGCAATAGCAAGGTTTATTAGATTCAGCGCATGTGCGTAGTTCAAGCTAGCAGGGAACTCTTGTCCACCACAACCGACACAGCAAGGCAGGGAGGAGAGTTACTCTTTCTTGGGGAAGTTAGGGTTTTTTTTTTTTTTTAAAGATTTATTTATTTATTATGTATACAGTGCTCTATCTGCAGACCAGAAGAGGGTAACCAATCTCATTACAGGTAGTTTTGAGCCACCATGTGGTTGCTGTGAATTGAACTCAGGACCTCTGGAAGAACAAGCAATGCTTTTAACCACTGAGCCATCTCTCCAGCCCCGGAAGTTAGTTTTTATAGGCAAAACCCACAAAATTCATTAGAGGGGAGGGGGTTAGTACGGGTCTATCCTTGATTAGTCCAGTTTTTCCTGGGCCTGGACTTTGTCTTATTTTAGATTATCTGTTTGCCCTGTCAGGAGTTTTACAACCCATCTCTGGGGTCTGGTCATGTTATCTCAAGAGAGGGGCATCTCGTGGTTAATTGGTCACCACCAGACATCCTGACTTTGTTCTTTTGAAAACACCTGACTTCACCCTCTCCAGGAAGGGGGAACTGATTTAGTTCTATTTTAAGATATCTCTCTCCTTAACTCTTTTGGGTTTCTGGGGGAACTGTGTCTGGGCCTTTGGTGTGTGTGTGGGTCTTTCATGGAACATTCCAATTTCAAGTTGCAATGGCTGTCTCATACTGATTAATTATTGGATCATTGGTTTAAGTATTTATAGGACACCCATGAATATCATCTATTTCTAGATGAGAAATATGTTCAAGGGATTATTAAAATAGTGAATTGAAAATTTTTGACATGGAAAGTAATTACTACAATCATTGAAATTTTTATTAAATGAAAAAACATGCCTACTTTCTATTATTTTTCATTTGTTTAATAAAGTTGAAAATAGAATCTGGTTTGAGTTACCTATTACTTTTCAAAGTCTATGAGAAGAGACAGAAGCTAAATCCTGAAACTGTGCCATATTCAAAAAGCTAACCAGCTGAGAAGACAGTGGCTTAGGATCCTAATGATCTGTCTTCATCTCTTCTTTAGCCATCAGATTATATATGGAGGGGAGACACAAGCAGGCAACCTTTTCAAAGTTTAGATATCCCCTCTAGTCAGGTGGTCAGCTAAGATTCATGATGTTGGGGTTTTTCTCTCTATTACCTGGTAAGCCCCCTTTCTCTACGTAGCAGGGCTTCCTATACACCCAAGCTACTGAGTCTTGCATTCTCCTGAGCTGCCTTTAAATGACATCTAGAACAAAGAAAGTTTAGCAGTGTGTGTGTGAGAACGGGGTGTTTGTAATGTGACGGAGAAATCTTGCTATGAAAACCTTTACACACACACACACACACACACACACACACACACACACACACACATGCTTAAAATGATGCAAGCTAAGGAAAGTCACTTTGGTAAAGGCCCTAAGAAGCATGCACACATGCCCCCTCTGCTAGTTAGAAATGCAGTTGGAATTCTACTGCTTGTGACTGTGTCAGAGTGGAGGGAGAGCTTGTGGGACTGACTCTGTACTCCGGGTGTAAAGTGTCATGTGGAATTGAATTAGAGGACCCCCAGGCTCTGGCAGTGGGGAATATCTAGCACATGGAGACCTGCCCCTGTCAGCAGTGACTGTGTTAAGAAAGTAAGTGTGACAGTTTGGTTTCTCTTATCTCATTAAGAGAGTGTTTGAGATTTACTAAAGAAGATATCTCTACCCTCCAAGATCTCCAATGCTTCAGGGTTGAATTACAAATTTGAGAACAGTGATTTCGAGGAAAGGGTCAAAGGGTAATAATGAGATATGTAATAATACAGAAATGGACCTTGAGAGGGAAGGCTAGACAGCTCTCAACAGACCCATCTGGTACTACAAACCTTGAGCTGATTTACTATTTTTTTTTTCATGCTGGTCAAAGCTAAGACCTAGTACATATATTTAAAAAATATATTTATTAATTTTTTACAAAACTTATAGCAAATATTTTGATTATATTCACTCTCTATTAGCTAAACTCCTTCAAGAGCTCCTTCAACCTCCCTACCCTCTCACCTTCATATTCTTTCTTCATTTTGTATAATAATTTATCTAGGCCACTTAGTAGGCCTGCATACTCATGGTAATGAGGCACTCCAGAGCAGACCATAGATTTACCAGAAGCCACACCATTAAAGGAATCTGACTTTCCCCCTCCCATCAGCTATCCATTGTTTATTTGACCAACACTTGATACTCACAACCCAAACTCATGAACTTCCTTTTCAAAACTTCACTGTGACTGTACATAAATCATCATTAATTTTGTGACTAATTTTCTGTTCTTCAAATTGAGACAGAATTTTTTATTCCTAGAGCACCCACAGCCCAGCCAGTCTTTGTTTATTGAATGTAATTCACCAAGTCCAGGATGTTCTAGTTTTATATCAAAACACACACTTCCTGTACTCCATGAAATACCCTCCCTCTGCTCCATTATTTGTTTTTGTTGTTGTTGTTGAATTAAATTTATTTCTTAACCAAAGACTTACCAGAATACCTTATGGAGATTTTCTATGGCTCTAATACCTATGAAAAGCTCCTTTCTCTTTGCTCAATATCATGCTATCTTTATGCTTTGGTTTGTATTTTGTATTAATTTCTTTTATTTTGTTGTCTTCAAGGTCTTTTTTAGCATATAAGTAAAAGACTTTCTGGTATGTAATACTACTGAGTAAGTAAATACATTTTAGAATTGATAAAATTATCAGAGAAAAATTATGAAAGAAATCTACACATCAGCCCAAGCTAGTGTACTTCCCACCTCTTTTGTCTTAATATTCCTGCCTACTCCTTTTGTTAAAACACCAAAAAGAAAAAGAAAAGAAAAAGAAAGATGACCACACATAGAGACATCACTGAGTGTATTTCCCCTCTATGTTAAACTCCTTCAGTGGACCAGAGAAAGAGGAAAGGAAAAGTGCAGGATGGTATTTTCAAAACAAGACGAAATGAGCTGCAGCTTCAGAATTGCATTTTGGCATTCACCAACTGAGACTGGGATGCGGCTGTGTAGAAAATGCCACAAGAGGCCAGATTCTTTAGGACTTCAGAATTCTACAAACCTACAATCAGAAATAAAGCCACTTTGGGGATATTTACACTAGAAATTCTCCTGTTCATTGTGCTAAACTATGTGAGAGTAATTACTCTTATTAAATTATGAACTTAATGCAACTAACTAGGAGCCCTAACTCTGCCAAGACATCTAGCCATTTGTGCCTCCCCCCCCTCCTTCTTCTTCAGACCAGGCTGGGATTAAAGGTATGGTCAACCACACCCGGCTCCATGTAGAGTCTTCATATCATTGTTCTGTGAGTGTAGTTTTTCCTATAAACATCTAAAATTAAATAAACTCTTGAACAAGATAAATCCTTGCCTGATGATGTATGAGTGCCTGAAAAAAAAAAAAAGTATCATGATTGTGAGGTTCTACTAAGTGCCCGTGCAATTCTTCACACTTCATTTGATTGAATTTCTAACTATTTAATTCTATTTATTCTTCTCTATGTTTCTACTCTTTCACTTCACATTTGTCTGTATTCCCTTTTCATTTGTTTTCATTTCTTTCTGAATGTTGTGTATGTTTTTTAAAACAGCATCTTTCTGTAGCAGGAATCTTAAAAGTTCTTATTAATAAAATCAAACCTGAGGCCAGTTATTGGGCTGAATACTGGAAAGTCAGAGAGACAGAACAAGTCACAGCTATCTCACCTCACCAGTTCCTCAGCTGGTCCTGTTTCCTCAGACTGGAAGCCTCTGGGTCCTCATCCAGAATGAATCCCAGCTGAATTGTGTTGCTCCAAAGCCTGAAAGCTTAATCAGCCAAATGCTTAACCAGCCACATGCTTAACCAGCCAAATGCTTCTAGTTTCTTGTCCTCACACCTTATATACCTTTCTGCTTTCTACCATCACCCCCTAGGATTAAAGGCTTGCTTCCTGGGATTAAAGGCATGAGTCACCCTGCCTGGCTGTTTCCAATGTGGCCTTGAACTCACAGAGATCCCAGATGGATTTCTGCCTCTGGAATGCGAGGACTAAAGGTATGTGCTTTCACTGCCTAACTAGTGGCTTTTCTGTTCTCTGACCCCAGATAAGTTTATTAAGGTACACAATATTTTGGGGAACACAATACCACCACATTTCCTCTCTTTCTGTCCAAAATTAAAGAAAGCTTATAACTAATACAAGAAAAACTATCCAATAAGTATATACAATATATACAAGTAATAAATACCTAAACAATG